CTGACAGAACGACGCACTTCATTATGATTAGACTCCGCAGGGGTATTTCTGTCACCATCAAATAGATCCAAAAAGCGTGTGGAGGTCCAGACCTACATAGGGTGCTGCGTGAGACCACAGACTAACTGCCCGGATGTGATTATGGTCCTCTGCATGAATATTCAGTGTTCATCCATATCTTGCGGTGGGTCGAAACCGAGTGCACCGGCCAGGGAATATTGATAGTTTTGTTGAACAGAGAGTATAGAGTTTATTTGTGTCTATCTTACAGTGCTTCGTTTTCACGAATCCTCCCTAACTCATGCAAATGGTCGCACAGACAACAGCATGGTCTGAGTCAATAAAAGTGGACCAGATGGATATGTAAGCGTTTACACTACTCTGCCATCTGAAACTGATTGAGATATGATCAATCCGAGACCTTGCTTGAGACGCAGTAGGGAGTAGCCAAGTAGCGAAACGTCTCCTCGAATGCCGAAAGAAGGCACTCGCGAGAAACAGAAGATCAGCTTCGCACAGTGTGAGAAGACTCTCACCATTAGCTGAGAGGCTGTCATGGAGCGCATGATGACCACCGAGATGACTTTCGTATGATAATAAACGACCGACCTGTGCGTTGAGATCCCCAGTAAGTACAACAATATGGGATTTACAGGCTCTGTTCAAGAGCTGGTGAAGTACACAGTTGGAATCGTCCTCAACTGTATCGGAATTACAATCACTTAGAGCGTAAGCTGTGGTCGCAAACAAGTTACCTCTCTCCTCATGACATCTATTGATCCTGTATACTCCCCGAACCCAAACTGCACACAACTGGATATTAATCGGGAACCAGTCCATCGGTGCGGCTTCGGCTTTACTACTTAGCGCTATACCAATGCCAGCCAAACGTGCCGCAGCTGATGCTGTGTCACCAGATAGATGTAGATGAAATATTTCTCCGTGGTTGTTGAGTGATCTCAACTCAATCACAGTAGTGGGATATTGTAAGCGCGTTTCGGAAAGACAGCAATTATTAATGTCGATGGATTTCAAGGTGCGCGCAAACCAGCCTGGTGCATGAGTGTACGCATTTTGAAGCATGCCAAACGGATCGAGACCGAAAGTGCGTCACTGGGCGAGCTCCGTGGGTGTCGACGAAACAATCTGGAGTAAGATCATGGAAACAGGAATCAGCTGGTAACGAATAACACTGATTGGTAACAAATGAACAGGTAGCGTATGAAGAAAGTATGTGAGTAGCAGGAGCGAAAGCAGCTGAGTGCGATATCGCAGATTAACAGACCATGCTTTTGTGGGCGTGATACTACCCGGTTGCCAAAGTCGAAGTAGGACGTTGTCTTAGAAGACACCACCCAGAAAGTTTGTCTTAAATAGCGTGCTCGTAGGGCAGCGGAACAGATTCAGGGAATCGCACCCATTGGGAGTCGATGACTGAATATTCAGTTCACATTTATTTTGTTTGGTCGCTAACCACACAAGGGTTCAATTCTGCCCAAGATTTCAGCACTTTTGCTGGAGTACCATGCCCACAGAGATGAAGCAACGGGCAGTGACTTTATTTAGTGGCGAGTCCCGTCCGCCACTTCGCAGTGTTGTTAAATAGACATTTGTGGTTTATCTTATAGAGAGAACACTTGCCAGGCGAAAATCCACCACTTCCTTGAACACGGCCACCGAGCACTTCGCTGGAACGGCACCGCGATGGGTAGTTCAGCAAACCAGCCAGCCAAATGAGCCCTATGGAAACTATAACTTTACCCCAGACAGCTAAAATCGATGTAGAAACTCGGGCACCTGGAAATCCTGAAAAAGTATACACACTGGTACAACTATATAAAAGAATGACCCTAAACATAATTAGGAAAGTAAAACGCTGATGTTTACGTTGGTTCATTAACGCGCGACATCTCCTGTATATGCGAGTCAATCAACTCTAGCCTTGCTTCTTCCTTTGTCCTTGATGGTTAGTTGTCTCACTCTCCATCGAACAACCTCACCGTGATGCCAGCTGGGTGGTTCGGGTTAATCCTGTTCCCTTGAATGCTTCGGAGGCAGTATTTCAGGATCTAGTAGTTTTCCGTCTGGAAAGCGTTCTCCCTATAAAATGTCACAAATGTCTGCTTAACAACGCCTCGACGTTGCGGATGTGACACGCCAGTCATCCAGTAAAAGTTTCTCTTTCACATTTTCTCAAGTAGATAGCTCAACAGAACACAATCAAAACTACGGTGTCACGTCTAAAAATTCAAGCATATGTATGGTATGGCGGCACCCGTATCCGGATTTGCCTGTCACAGTGGCCTCCATGGCGACAGCCACAGGACGTCTTCGCCTACAAAGGGACCATGGGTGGCTTGCGCTGCACCACTCACAGTTCCACCCACATAGCCCATATTCGATGTAAATCCGAAGGAATAAGACCGGGAGGCATGTGGATGGGAGCCACGTTTCATCAACCGAGCCGGCCTATACCCCTTCAACAAGCAAAACAGAAGCATTCCGGCCTAATTGAGAAATCATGCACACCAGACGTACACAAGGCGGTGGCTAGACGGTAGTCCGTTCCACACAGGATGGAACCACTCTTTGAACCTAGAACCGTCACGGGAACAGTGCATCCCGTCCCTTCCAGCAACGAATAACTGTCTCCTGGAGCCAGCAATCGAGGTGGTGGGTACCAGACGGATAAGTGCCTTGTGAACACTCACATCAGGCGCAACCACACCGGGGGGCTGACTTCAAAGTCAACCGAGGCCACGAGTGAGATTGCGAGTCGCAATCCAAGACACACGGTAGGTGCTCCAAAACCCGAAAATCTATTTCTAACCGCTGTGTCCAACACTGCTCGCGGAGCTCAATGGCCTAGTGATGCTGGCGATAGCCGCCAAGCACTATGTGCGGAGTTCCACTCCCAGCATGGCTATCTCTACCTGATGAGTCTAAACCGAGACGAAACCGTCGCTCGCGGAGTGCAGGGATGGGAGAGAGCCTTACCAAAGCCCTCCAAACTACATCTACTTCTAAAGTGTAAGATTACTCAGCACGTATGCAAACGTACCACATCCGCCGCCCTATTGGCCTGAATTAGTAAATCGAATGGGAGCGTACGCCTCGTGCTTCTATTCCGCGCGCAAAAATGCCTTCTCCTGCACCGGGGCAACCGTCCTTTAGATCAGTCCACGGAATTCATCTTGGATTTGCAACACCTGAAATCAAAATTAGTTTGTCATAAACTTACTTTGTTTATAGCCTGGTAATGTTCTTTTCGGTTTGCCCCAGTGCCGCATTACTCCACTAAGTTGGCCGTACAAAAGCGGTATGAGTATCCTCGTCGAATTCATTCTATATACGTATTTACATGGATTGGAGTCATCCGTAGCCAATGGCAGTTCGGATGCAACATATGCACATGCGCCTGTCCAGACTTAAATATGAACTGCTACAAACTGGATAGAGACACATTAGACCTCGTGAACGATAGTATTAATGACGTGTATTGTATCTTTTGGAGGTCAGAATAACAGCCAATTGCACCGGCATGAGAATAACTCTCCAAAACCAACCATTGGTGTTTTCTTTACCATTTAGACGTGACAGCCTTTAATCTTGGGTATCCATATTTGAACGAAACCGATTTAGGAATAGGGACGCAATTTCCATCAGTACGGTTGCCAGGTAGAAAGATAAATAAACAAGTAGTACAGTAAAATAGTATTTCCGCAACTCGACTGTTGCCAGTCCGTGGTTGGGACCACTGAGCTAAGGCGGACGGTAAGGACCATTGTAAATAAATTACTAGAAGTGATATAACACCACTCACTATCCACTGACTTACAAGTTACTGCAGTGCAAAGTACGGCGTAGCCCCATAAGTTAATTGGCGACCTGAGTTTGGTAAGCTCGTCGCTTGGTGAGGGGGCTACTCTGTCCTCTGCACGGTAGTAACCTCTAAGTCAGTGGATAGTGAGCGGCGCTATATCACATCTAGTAACTTATGTACAATAGTCGTTACCGTCCCCCGTAGCTCAGTCGTCTCAACAACCGACTGACAACAGTCGAGTTGCTGGTTCGAGCCCTACCAGGGTCCGATGGAATGCGTACTGTTGACGATTCCCGAAAGGATGAAACGCGCGTACAATGCTTTTCCGGGCATATGACGGCTGTCTGAGTGCGTCTAGATGCGACGCATTTCTGCCTATACCATCCAATTCCCACTACTACTTTTCTGTAAAATAGTATGTGCTTAAGTGTCACCTCCTATATCCTCTGGAGACTTGATACGCTATACCGAATGTTAAGGATCATTGGTTCACAACAATCACCAGAACCGGTGACGGAAACTGGCCTAAACATCTTAAGAGCAACCAAAAGCCTACAGTCAGCTCACCCACTTTTATCGTTACCCACTAAATTAAACATAGGCCTAGGTTACCTACTCTTCCTTAGCCTACTTTTGACTGCTCCCGTGTTTCGCTACCCAGCAACTGTTAAACCTGGGTACAAGTGTTATTATTTTTGGCATTTTGAGTGACTGGGTCGCTTAAACCAACACACGACTTCTGTGTACAAAGCATCGCTCTCGCTTAGAGTTAAATATACGTATTTATTTATTTATTTCGATATTGATCAACTCGACACTACCCCAACAACGGAAGCTGTGATAAAGTGACCTAGGTGACGTCTTTCCCTGCTATGTACAATGGTCTTACACATAGGCTAAAAATACGGTCCCAAACGAGGCGTAGCCAGTGAGGGAAAGATATGAGGAAGCGCGCGACTGAGTGGCGTGTTGAATCCAACATGGCACTGAGTGTATGTATTGCATGTGTGTTGGGTCAGACAAACAGATTCAACATACATTTCAACATTCTGCAAACAACTAAGTGTACGATAAGATGATGCTTTTAGTTGCTATTTTATACAATGCACTCAGACAAACCGGAGAAAGATCCAGATCGTTACAATCTTCAATCTGATTTGCCTTTTCTGACCAACAGCAATTGAAGCACCCAAACTTGATCAATCTTATCGAGGTGTTCAAGCGAAAGCGCCGGCTCCACTTGGTGTTCCAGTACGTTGATCATACGCTTCTACAAGAGCTGGAACAGAACCCAAAAGGGTAAGTCTGGGTGCGCGGTACTTTAGAAGAGTTCACGTAACACATCCCAGAGATGACCACATTGGTCATCAAAGGGTGTCTGATTGTTAAACATATCCACCTCATATCAGCAGTTAGGTGGTAGTTCAGGCATCATGCACAACAGTCACGGCTTTGTTGGTTATTTTGTTTGTTTCAACCGAAGGTTTTGCACCTGCGGCTTGTTCCACACAGGTGGCAGACTCACTGAAGTAGAAAAATACGCTCGGTTTCTTCAGCTCTCTGGAAGGGGTGCATAGGAACGATGGTTTGATAAGTTACTAAATCAAAAACGCAGACCGACAAACGGTTAGTCGCGTTTGGCGGTAATTAAGCAACGATGCTTCAAGCTTTCTTGAAAAATACTGATGCAAGTGGCACCCGGCAACTAGCAACTCTTGTGGTTGATATCAGATCCTCAAACTTCGATACAGTTTTTGTTGTAAACAACCAGGGTTCCCTTAATATCCTGAATTCGATCAGTCAGTGGTTAGTTGGAGACAGGCGCATTAAACGGAACAATTGCGAATCTAATGTACTACTGGATTTACAAGTCCAGCTAGGACTTCCAGAATAGTCCAACTGGCCGCTAATGTTTGTGTCCAATATGCTGTTTTGTCAGTTTGCAAGATTGCGGACGTAGATCATTACATTCATGAGTTGTTAAGGAGTTTAAAAGGAGTATTTTTGTTGCAAAATTAGTTCTTTGGAACAAATCTGTTTTTGGGTTGAACGTTTGCTTTCCGCAGATCTGAATTCCCTGCAGAGCCGCTGTCGGTAGGACTATGCTACCTGTGTAGTCAACGAACTACCTCATTACCGTGGTGGGCTTAAGAGATGATACTTGCAAACCAGTGTGAGACAGATATGATTGCTTGAAACCGCAGTCCTATACAGAATCGTACCGAGCCCACTGCTCATCTTTTCAGCCGATGGTGCACTAGGTTGCATTACCCCAATTTGAATTGATCACGGATATGACCATGCCCGAAGCAGTTTGTTGTTCCGTATCCGTGCTGTCTTGTAAAAATTTTCCCTTAATCGACGTAATAAACCAAATGTACTGTAAAGTTTACGTGCTACCGCTTCACATTCTGTTATCCGTGACTAGTTGGTAGTTACTACTTTGGTGTATCAGTGTAGGAAATAACTCAGATAGATAAAACAAGAACTTCGGAACTGGTTCAAACTTCGCAAGACCAATAGCGTGGGGCTACTGTGACTACTCAGCAGTACCACGGGATGAGGACCTTCGATGAAGACTGAAAGCACGGAATGCACCATGAGGCTGGACTGGTGGCGGGTTACATGTCAATAGTCCATCACCCATGGAAGTCCAGGATTGATAATTATGCGCGCTCAACTTAAACGGGAACCCTTTGGGTCTCATCCAGATGTAACTTGGATAGACTGTTCTCTGTCGTTACCATAAATACAGTGTGCCCCATAGTAACCAACAGTGTTTTACAATCCTATAGAACGAGTAAATAAAAATGGCAGTTGATGTGGTAATGTGCGATAAACCACTTTTCAACATCTAACAGCCAACCTGATGAAAACAAACGTAAACGAATGTCCATAAAACAATGACATGCTCTTGATCCAGAACATATTTGCGTTCGCTCCGGCTTGGTGCCATCACCCTTGCTCTCGTTCTTTCACCCCAGATACATATTTATTGTGGTCAAGCTCGCCACGGTTTGTGATGCTTGGTGAATTCCGCATATTCGAGTGGAAATCGAGAGGACGGAGTAGTGCAAGCTTGCATAGGTCTGATTATTTTTCCAAACGATGTAGTTGCACTTTCAAGGAAATTAAGGAAAGACGAAATCAGTGCGCTCCATCCACTTAGTATATTGATAAATGCTAAAGTAGCACCCACTGCCTATACGTTCAAAGTGAGCAGATGAAACAAAGCAAGTTTCAAGGTGGATCCTAGAAAAATAGACAAAAAGGAGTTGGCGTTCCTCAGCAAATCGGTGCATTGCTTATTAACCGGGTCGTCGTGATATCGTGTTGGCGAGATATAAGGTTGAGGTACTAGCTTACAGTTGTTAAATGGGATATTTGATTGCTCGTCTCGCGTATACTGCTCTCGAGAAACACCACTTTCCGGGCACCAGTTTCCTCCGGAGGACGCTGCATCTGCGCTCATTCGAATAGGAGTTGTACAACAGACACTGCTGAGTCGCGATAACTGTACTCCGCCATTCTATAAGTGTTTGCTTTGTAACAATATAACTGTCTGCATGTATGTGGATATTGTAATGATTTATTAGGTATCAGCCTTCCAAATGAACTTTGTTAAGGCTAAGTCCCCATTCGATGTTAGATGACGAAGCCTTTCAAGTCTTACAACCTTGGCGACCTGGTCGTTACTGAAGGCAATCTCTCTTTACTTCCCAAATCCTCTAATGTCCGGTGACTTACGTGCCGTATCTGTACTCGTTCGACTGGCCCTAACTGAATCGATACACTTGTGCTGCATTTTATTTGCACAGTTGCAGCAGACAGAGCGAAACATGAATTCGAAATCAGGTAGCTGGTAATGAATGATAATTACCTACCAATCGGTAGTGGATTGGAGAAACACGTAAAACTCCCGGGCCAATCCAAAAGTGAAAGCCGGAAGTACACTACAGTGCTAATTTTACAAAGGTTAATGGCATTGAATTTAGACTGACATCAATAATATCCACCACCAAATGTACGATCTTGTTCCCAACGTACGACTGGCCGACGAACAAAACGAAGAGAAAGTTCCAAACAACTGAGTTTTAATCAGTCACAGCCGAGTAAACGGTCCACTACGATTTAAATTAAGAGGATCGATGGTCCAATCAATTAATTTGCAACCTGTAAGTGTGAGCTAAAAGAAAGAGATTCACGTCATGAGCATACAAGAAGGCGTAAGTGTACTTTAACGCGCTACTTCATGCTGTGATTATGTCAGCGAATGAGAGCACACAGAAAGTATGATGTTGAATATGTACTGAAGGGTAAAAGTGGAGCTGTAATCAAAGGAGTTGCATGTACGTTGCAGAGTTTTACAACAAAAAGTTTGGTAAGGAAATCAAAACAAGTACGAAAACGAAAGGAAGCTGTTAAGAAAAAGCTAGGTTTTTCAAGTAGTACACTGGAACTAACAAGAATATGGATTTATTATTAGCCATAACTTTGATTTTTAAACGCCGCTTGCACATCCGTTTCCCCTTCACACTAGGACTGTGATTGGCCAACCTCTCAAGCTCGTTAGTGGATCTATTAAAAACCACGTGTTTCACTGATGAATGCCTGATTTGTTCTCAGAATAGATCTCGTGCGAAGGTCTTGTCTTCTGCAGTGTTGAGGTTAGGTCAATCAATTGAAAGCCGAATTGTGAGTCTCTTGCGGGTTTACCGTGCATTGCGCGTGTTCGTACCGAATTTGCGATAGTAACCGTTGGAGCAAAAAAATTGGCAACGGAAGTCTCTTTACGAATTACTATCAACAGTGCTGATCTCAAGCTAATCCTGGAGCAGCAGATGAGGCTAATGCAGTTGATTACCGAACGCCTATCTATATCCTCCTCATCTCAGGTTACAACGTCCTCCGTCATTGAATCCAGTAAACAAGCTGCCAATACCATCATCGAATTTTTGTTGGATCCTGCGGTTACCGTTAGATTTGAATCCTGCTTCAAAGCGTACGAAGAATGATGCCTTATTGTGGGCTAATCATGATAACGCATGGAAAGTTCGCCTTTTGACGCGCATACTCGATTCCACCGAACACGACAAATATTCCAACTCCATCTTACCACAGAACCCATGAGATCAGCCATTAGATGTGACAGTGCAAATTCTCACTCAAACATTGGGTGAGCAGGAATCACTTTTCACTATTCGTTACCACTGTCGCAAATTTGTAAAGTGTGACGTGGCTGATTTTATCATATATGCCGGCGTGCTTATTTAAGTACATGGACGTATCAGACTACGTTGTCCCACCGACAACCAGTTTCAATGCCTCGTGTTCATATGCGGTGTTCAGTCACCAAAGGATGCTGACATACATACGCGGCTCTTAAGCAAAGTTGAGCAGGACCCTCAGATGATACTGTAGAGTGTCACTTCTGAATGCCAGCGTCTGATTAATCTGAAATGCGATACGGCCATGGTCCAAAACACTGACCACCCTCTTGGTTCTTTTCGCACTCTGGAGAACCAAATGTTTTGTAAGCACCAATCACCCACCCCGTTCCTGCAACAAGAATACACCCCATCATCGTGTTGGCACTGCAGTGAATACCATTTCCCTCGCTTTTGTTCGTTCAGACACCACCGATGTCAACGGTGTAACAAGATTGGTCATAAAAAAGGAATTTGTCAGACCTGATCCAGTTTTAGGAAGCCCATGAGACCGAAACAGCGACCAAGAAGACCTACTCAGGCCATGCACTCCCTTAGCCATCTAGTTACATTAAAACTGAATGTTGCTACTCGCCGAAAATTTGTCTCCGTAACAATCAACAGGCTTGTCGTCAAACTTTAGCTCGACACCGCGTCCGACATCACGATGATCTCCGAGGAGATATGGACTTTCATGGGTAGCCCACCTGTTAGACTTACCACACGAGAACCAACCAGCACATGTGGCGGCTCGGTTCGCCTAATTGATCAAATCTCTTGTTCTGTAACCTTTTGTAGATACAACCATTACTGATGTTTACTATATTTCACTTCAAGTTCAATATGCTAAGATTGGATTGGATAGACAAACAGGGGCTTGCCGATTACCCTCTAGACGTCATTGGTCGCCGACTTCAGGTTTCACCGGCAAACTCTATTGCCCGTGCGTTTCCTAACGTTTTTCGTGATGGTCTTGGATGCTGCAAGCGAGCTCAAGCAACTCTCCGGTTAAAGCCTGGTGGTGTTTTATCGTTTCGACAAAAAGCGACCAGTTCCATACGCTGCGCTTCCGGTGGTGGATCAGGCACCGCGGCGTCTCGAAGAAATGGGCTTCTCGCCGAAAACAAAATCCCCATGAGCAGCTCCGATTGTTGTCGTTAAGAAAGCAAAGGCTTCAGTTTGTAGGTATGCCGGCTTGTTACCGGATTAAATACATCGCTAGAAGCTCATTACCTTCAGCTGCCGATTCCGGAAGATATTTTCATCATGCTCAATTGTAGAACTAGTTTTGCGAAGTTGGAGCTGGAGGATGCTTACTTGCTATCACAACTGGACTCTAACCGCAAGTATGTATTTCAACTCGTAGCGAATAAGCAAGAAGACGCGTCAGTCTGGCGCACAGTGTACTGAACACTTAACGGTTTACATGTGAGCACGGAACGTTGGGGTGTGTCCTTGAGTGCGTGTGTGCGTGCTTATCTACGTGTGTGTGTAGGGCCAACCAGGTTCACGGTCATAGTGAGCGATCATTGGTTGAACACGTAACACTTGCAAAGCTTTGTAACCCCGCAATCTCGCGAACTGCTAACCGTCAACATGCACCGGGACTTATTTCAGTATAACCACCTACCGTTTGGAGTCAAGTCAGCTCCTGCTATTTAGCAACTGATAAGGGACGCTATGGTCTCTGGCTTAACGGGCGGTGCAACGAACCCCGACGATATCTTTATGATGGCTTTTACCATCGAGGAGAAATACAGCAAGATATCCTAGGTTCTATGTCGTGTTGTGGAATACGAATTTCAGATAAGTGTCGGTTTTTCCTCCCAGAAATCAAGTATCTCAGTTTGATCGTCGATAAAATGGTCGCTGTCCCGACCCTGAAAACTTGCGTGTAATCCAGGAGGTGTCCGTTGCAAAGGATGTCTCATCTTTATGATCTTTCCTCGGGCTGGTGACGCACGGCGGTACATTTTTACCGGCCCTCCACGATGTCAAATCACCATTGAATACATTGCTCAAAAAGGACAGTGTTTGTTCCTGGTCCCCAAAATGTGAACATAAATTTAAACATCTGAAACTGACGCTTGTTATCAACCTCTTCCTGCCACATTTTGATCTCAAGCTACCGATCTTGGTCGCTGCGGATGCTTCTAGCCAAAGTGTCCGTGCCGTCATCTCCGACGTGTTTCCAGACGGATCGGAGAAAGTTAACATGCATGCTGCTCGCACACTTGCGGTAGCAGAGAAAAATTATGCTCAGATGGATAAAGAAGCTTTAGCTCTAGTGTTCGCTGGGAATAATTCCCACTAGATGGCCTACGGTCGCAGCTTCCGTTTGATAACCGACCACAAACCGGTACTTGCTATTTTCGGCTCCAAAATCTGCAACCCGACGTGATCTGCCTGCAGGCCGCAGCGCTGGGAGTCCATACTATTGAACCATGACATTAAAATCTGTTACCGACAAACGGAAGATTTTGTGCCATTTGACGCCGTCTCCAGGTTACTCAGTGCAAACCGATAGAAGCAGGAAGACAATATTATCGTAACAGTCTCCCTGGAATCAGATGTTCCTACGTACCTGGCTGCGGCCATTCGTACATTTTCAATTACTTTTCGTGACGTCTAAAAAGAAAAGAATATCGATCCTATCGAAGTCTTTATTGCTTCTGCGAGCTGAACATTTGGATTGCAGACATTACACCACCAATCGAGGTGGCGTCTCCAGGGCGTAATGACAAGTAGCTTGATAGCAGATATTGAGCTTCGAGCAAATTCAAGGGTGGATGACGTCGGCTGCGGGGATGCACTTTATATACAACGCAATCATTAGAAGTCCCGATTCCTTCTAAACGCTTACTTCTCAGGTCTCTCTGGGATACACGAGCGACCTCTATTGGCTAGTGGGAAACTTGAAGCGTTGTAGGATGGCTTCTTGCAATTTAATTGGTACAATGACTAACATATACACAACTGCTGTTCTTTTGGTTGTTCAGTCGCGTGGCTGTCTATTCAAGCCACGGTTTCTAACCCGTTTCGTTTCTTCCCTTCTCAACTACTGCTTTGCCGAATCGAGGTCTATACACAGGTTTAGTGAATTCCTGTAGAAAACCAAGCTTCCTGTAGTTTTCCTCCTTTCCTTAAATCACTGTGCGTCAGAAGCTCTGTTCTAGTCCACTCAAAGCTGTATCCTTCTTCATCGACCTACATCGAAATCAAGAATGACGCATAACGATTTTTGAAGACACGCTTGTGCTCCTGTATTCTCGTAGTCAATTTCCGTCCTGTTTGGCCCACGTAGCTTTTCTCACCGATTTGGCACGGAATCCTGTATACAACATTGAATTGCTCAAGAACTTCTATTTGCTCTTTGGTTTCGACAAGGTTCTTTTCGGTGTGGCTGTCAGTTTATGAGCAATCATTAGGTGGGGTGGTTTCAGGAGTCTGACAGTCAGTTCTGAGACGTTCTTCACATACAGCAGAACTATCCATTTCGTCTTTGTCAGTGTTGTTGTGGCATTTATGGTTCTGGCACTGATGTACCTTCGGACGAAACTGTGTGGGTACCCGTTCCGCATGAACGATGCAAACAGATGTTTCTCTTCTTTCCGTTGTACTTCCGTGGTGTTGCAATGTGATTCTTCTCTTTGGAATAGAGTTCGTATGCAGTTTATCTTGTGGCATTTTGGATGATTGCTGTTATAGTTCAGGAGTTGGTCAGCGTGTGTGCCCCTCCTGTAAACCGAGGTGTGTAGTGCTGCGTCCACTGTACTGGAGAACAAAACATCAAAGAAGGAAAGTTGCTTTACTTTTGATGGTTCCGTGGAGAACTGAATGCCGTTCATCGCATTGCTCAACAAACCTTGTGCCGCCTGCAGCTGGCTACGTTGGAGTCTCACAAAGATATCGTCAACTTGCCTAACCCATCATTTCGGGTTTATGCTTGGGAGCAGATTCTCTTCCAACCTTTGCATGTCGACATCCGTAAGGTGTCCAGATATGGTGGGTCTCATTGGGGCTCCTTTCACTTGCACGTAGAATAACTCATTGAATTTGAAATATTTGGTAAGACATAAATCGAGAAGTTTGCATTTGCTTTCGGTTGTCAGATTGCTTAGGTTATGTTCCCCACGGTTAAGGTGTTCTCTGATGCTTTCTTTCGCTAACTGTAAGTTGACCGCAATACACATAGCAGTGACATCGAAAGACCATTATATCTTCATGACCTGTAGGTAGGTTTTTGAGCTTCTCCAAAAATGTATAAGCATTGTTGAGAGAGTACAGTGATCCGTTGTTTAGATGTTTGACGTGCTGCCATAGCTCTTAAGCCAAGTTGTAGGTTGGAGTACTCGGTAGTGACACAATTGGTCGTAATGGTGCATCTTCGTTGTGTATCTTCGGAAGTCCGAGTCCTTATTCTATCACGCCCTGCCTTTGTTAGTTGGTTCAACTCTTGAAGCATTTTTAAAATCATATTCGCGTTATTCGTTGATTGCACTGTTGGATCGTTATTCATGCTGCGGTACGTTGTTGTGTCGTTTAGGAGACGACGTGCTTTTTCAGTATAACCTGTTTTAGCCATTATAACAGTCATACGCCACTTGTTCACTGGCAGAGTAACGATGGTTCCCTAGGCTTCAAAGCACCTTTGGCGTTCTCTTGATTTAACAGGCAGTTGTGTTGTTTGTTGCGTGGCAGGTCTGTAAGGATTGCATGGCTTATCTTCGTCTTGGTCACTTCGTCAATTTTTTTAGCTTGTTCAAATCCAGCAAGAAGTTCCGTAGGTTCGATAGCTGAAGTTGCAGTTAGGTCCCTTGATAAGGACTTGTCTTTCAGTTTAACTGAGTGGCCGTTTGGACAAGTGTTAACCCAACCATCATTGATATCTGGACATCTGTGGCTTGATAATTTTCACAGCTTGTTTTGTAGGGCAGCCTGCTTTTTCGCTTCTGTCTTTCCTGCTCTGTAACCTATCCTCCAAGAAGCAATCAAATGCGTCCGCAACCGATGGCTCACGACAACACCCTATGGAGACCAGTGAAAATTTTATCACTGTCGAAACAGCTTTTCCTTGACCGATTCCTGTCTAATGCTTGCTCAGCACATCGTCATTACTAATTCGCGTCGACTGATTGCCTTGCGTCAGTTCCACACAGGTTATCCTGGTGCTGGGCGGATGACGGTCATCGTCCGCAGCTACGTCTACTGACCGGGTATAGACAAGTAAATAGAGACGTTGGTCCAGCAGTGTTCCCTTGTCGCCAGGTTGCCAAAAATTCTCCCTGGATGGTTCCACAAATGTGGACTCAACCAGATAAGCCGTGGTTGCGCATACATCCATTTCGCTGGCCCCATCAACGGGACTATACATCTAACCGTAATTGACGCAACGTTCAAGTAGCCCGAGATAATCCCACAGTCATACGCGACAACATCGTCTACTACCTAAGCTCTGTGCAGAATTATCAGTCATCGCGGGTTTTCGGATACGCAGGTTTCTGATAACTGAATCCCGTTTACATCTCCATTTTTCCAGAAGTTCTGCATTCGGAGTATTATAACCACGTTCGCACCTGGCCATACAACTCTCAAACTGTCAGGTCAAACGTTTTGTGGATAGGTTCAAACGTGCTCTTTAAAAAGCGCGATTTGTGGGAACTACTGATGAAAACATTCAAGATTTCCTTATGCTTTACAGAACCACATCAAATCCGTCAACCCCAAAGGGATTCCATCTGCCGAATTCTCAATGGGACGAAAACCAAATACCATTTTCAATGCAGTGCTCCCATCGGAAATATCGCCACCAACCCCAGTACACACGTCAGGATCAATACTTTGAGTTTATGTGTTGGTTTACGCTGGTGACTATTGACAAAGTCATCCATCATGGGCCCCAGCAGTAGTTGTAGGCCGCCGTGGTTCCGTAATGTACGAAAAGGCAGTTGGACAGCATTAATGCATACGGCACGAAAACCAACTTCGTCCACACCCCGACAATGTCACAGTTAACGATAATGAAGAACGGCAATTTGAAATACCGCTAGTCCCGTTCGGGTTCCCGCAGAGTCCACGGACAGAAGTGCCACGTACATCCCCAGATCGAATCTCAAGGCAACCTAAAAGATGTACCGGCCGAAAACATCATCCAACAAGGTCCTTGCAACTAGATCCACGTCGTCCAAGGTGCGAGATTGCTTAAGAGGGGATGTGTTAGGGAAAAGCTAGTTTTCCCGGGAATCACACTGGAAGCAAGGAAAATGTGAATTTATTATTAGCCGCAACTTTTATTTTTAAACGCCGCTTGCACATCCGTTTCCCCTTCACACTAAGACCGTGATTAGCCAACTTTGCAAGGTTGTTGGTGGACCCATTAAAAACCACGTATTTCTTTGGTGAATGCGCAATTGGTCCTCAGAATAGATCTCGTGCGAAGGTCTTGTCTTCTGCCGTATTGAGGTTGGGTCGCTAGATTAGAAACCGAATGTGTACCATCCGTGAGCCGAATTGTGCGCCATTTGTGGGTTTACCGAGCTTTGCGTGTGTTCGTACCGAATTTGCCAGGGTGGCCGTTGGATGGTAACACGAACATGTTTGCACAGTGAACACGTCGGTAACATTGATGGTAAATCCTCATCGGAGTGCCGGGATTGTATTTATTCGTGAAAACTTCGTAGCTGGGCAACTAATCGTTCAATCGAATTTCGGGGTTGGATACAGATAAGTCGGATTTAGCTCACCGCTAACACTGAAGCATTGCGTGTTGTCTTACTTTTCTTATTTGTTTTCACACCGATGCTCTACTACTTAAGGGCAGCTGCAGTCACCATACATTTTGTGTGTCCTCTCAGTACAGGTTACTTATGAAAGGGATCGATCATCGTATGCGTCAACTGTACAGGCGCACCTGCTTTTGCGGTATAGCCATGGGAGCGAAACCTGTCGATGCATTGAGGTAACGTTAGCCTAGGGAATGCTCTGGGAACCGATGTTTTTAATTAGACGATGCTGTTGGTCCATGTTGAACTAGGGCCGATGCCGCGCGCTACAGACAGTAGCGAGGAATACGATATAAGTGGAAAAAACAATGGAACTGATTTGTCATGAGTGAAAAATTTAATGCCAAGTAGATTTTATATGATGCACTTGATAGAGTGGAAAGAACAAACATAAATGCACTAATGAAAGTGAGCGCGATTCAGCGGACTCGCCATGGTATTCACATAAGCACAGTCTTTAAACCGTTACCTAGGTTTTGGAACAATGAAACAATTTATAATATGGGTATAGAAAGCCAAGGCTTGATAGGTCCCATGAGTCGCTTTGTGTAAACTACTTATGTCCAGAAAATGTGGCAGTGAAGTGAAATGTGCATCTGTGAACTTACCATAAGATCCATGTAAACAAACAACTATATACGTTTTTACCGATTTCGTGGGAGTTGGTAGGCACAAGGTTTGTCTGCGTCCTGCCGTCACTCGACAAACGTAATTCAAATCAAGTAATGCAGATGGCGTTATGCAGCGTCTAGTCATTGTGTAAAAATGAGCCTCGTGGGCGTATAAATGACAAGAGACGAAAGAGCACTCCACGGCTGATAAATCATACCTGCGCTCCAGCCGTCTGTGTTAAGTGGCCAGTTCAGCTGCTAACTCTGCAAACTTCTGCTGTGGCTGTTTCAGCACGTGACGACAAACGAGACCGGGGTTGTTCATGTTCCATTACGTCAACCTGAGGTCATCCCTTAGACAGCGATAACTTTGCTGCACTCTCCAAGGTCTTTCAGCCACAGGTTGTACGGTAGGTGGAACAAGCCATTCACATTTTGCTTGTTCTTCACTATAGGCTCTCCATTCTAACTAACACGTTTTCGCCAGGTTCGACAGACCTGAATGGCTTACACTACATGGGGCCTCACCTGGATGTTGAGCATTTGAGGGATGATGGAGGGGTCCAGCAGCCCGAACGCAATCCGTAAGAGATGAACATGTTGGCTTACGGTTTCGGACGCCTTCAAGGACTGCTCCACACAGCCGAGAACGTATTGCGTGACCACCCCATAAACGCTCCCCTGTGAGGCAAATTTCAGGGTGTGGTCTCCAAGCTTATATGCTTTAGTGGGTTTAGGCATACAAATATAGTTGAGACTGAGACTGTATGTAAGAGCAAGTAGGAAGGTTTCTGCACAACCCTAACGAATAATGAAAAATCAAAAACATTTAATTGCGAATCGTCAGCGGTAGTGTTTGATCAGTCAATCGTTTATGCTTTTTCGGTTAGGAATTCGTATTGGTGACAATATTTTCTGGTATAGGACATATATTTTGCATTTTATACGCACCTTTTCATAAAAGTCCAGGTTTTCGAAATAATCGCCGATAAGTGTTTTAAAATATTTCCCAGGATCGGCCACGATTTGTCCTTCTGGTAGTGTATTCCATAAGTTTACGATTCTTCGTTCGATACCAAGCTGATGTGATACCTTGTTCATGCATAGGACCCCGAGTTTGTAACGGTGTCCTCTGGTGCTACGGGGTTCCCGCAGGTGAGATATTGTGCGCAGTATGGGGAATTGATTCAAGTGTACTACTCGACGGCTCAAATTAAGGTCAATTCTTATTCGGCGGTAGAATAGTGTGTAGAGTCCGAGCCTTTCACAACGTTTTTCCTACAGAAGCTTTCCTAGACGGGATATCATTCAATCTGCGATATGCTGTATTTACTCCAGCTTTTCAGTTTCCCACTGTGTTATCGGATGGTAAACTGGGGCGGTGTATTGAAGGATTAGTCTATTGAGCGAGATGAATAAGCGAGGGGCGGTTTCTTTACACCACATAAGAGAAACTGAGTCGTAATGTAGAGGGGCCGATTTCAAGAATGGCTCTGGGGAGCACTTCGGAGCTAGCTGAGAGCGGATCGCGAAAGACGGCTAGCGACGAGCCTGGGCCCGGAACTACGGAGCGGGAATATGTGGACAGCGCAATAAATCAGACAAATACGCCGCTAGCGCAGCCCACAGGACCGAGGCCGAGCCGATTGACACAGCCCAGAACAAGCAAGTCGAGAGCTCTCGAACGACTCCTGGCCGATCCAAATCAGGTGCAGAGAAGCGGAGATCGAGGCGAAAACAGGAAGGCGGATCTTCCAAGTCAGAGCTCCCGGGGCGAAAGGACTGGCTCGTCTCTAACATCCGTACCTGTGTTGCGTTGTGGGACGGAAATCTAGTCGATATTCGATGGCGCTCGCGAGACCCTCATGTGCCCATTTTCGGTGTGCAATAAACGTCTACCCCCCTGTCTTGTCGTTCTCGCTACATTGGTGCCGTGACCAATCCCGATGGAGTTGACCCGGTTGGAGCAATTTGCGGCCGGTGACGTGGAGGCGTGGCTCGATGAGTTCGACGGAATTGCGGCTTGCACGGGGGTGAGGGGGGATGCAAATTTGCTAATTGCTTTGGGCACACGGTTGAGTGGACGAGCCAAGGCGGTGTATTTGCTCACACGAAAGGCCAAACCCGGTTGTTCGTTCGCTGAGATGAGGGCTGCCTTGTGTGCAGAATTTGGGAAGGATCTGGAGAGAACGAGCACTGCAACGATTTCACGCAGCCAGATGGGACGAACAGGAGGAATTGATGGTGTTTTTCCAGCAGCTGGACAGACATCTAACGATTGGGCTCCCCGAGTTAGAGGGCAAAGCAAGAGAGCGCCTACTGAAACAGCAGTTTATCCGAAGTCTGCCCGGTCCACTCCATGATCAGGTGAAATTGGCGTCGCTGGTGGGAGACAGCAAAGCGATGGATCTGGTGACGGTCGCCCAGAATTTGTCGGAACGAGTGACAGTGAGAAGTATCCAGCATGCTGAGTTGGAACAGAAAGTAAATCGCCTATCCGAAATGGTGGAGCAGCTGTTGTCGATTGAGTCTTCAAGCACCACTTCACAACGCAATGTACGGGTAATCCGGAACGGTCGCCGCTGTTTCCGATGCAACCAGAATGGTCATGTGGCGAGATTCTGCACCAACGTCAATGTGCCCCATTGTTTCTCTCTATCCATGCCGAGTCGGTGGCGAGTACCAGTCCTCCAGGTAACTATAGAAGGTGTGTCTGTCCGAGCCATAGTAGACACAGGAGCGGCAGTGTCAATTACGAAGAGGTTCAATGGGGTTCCAGTAAACCCATCTTCAATCACGATGCAGACGGTCGGCGGGCATTCTTTGAAAGTGACGGGCACGCAGCGGTTACGAATCAGGATAGGAGAAACGCTCATCAGCCATGACATGTTCATCGTGGAGGAGACGACCGAAACCAACATCGGAACCGACATCCTGAAACGGCTCGATGTCACAATTGACCTGAAAAACGATGTGGTGATCGTGGCTAACGAGACGATCGAGATAAACAAGGGGAGAACCGACCGGGTTGGTGCCCTCAAAGCCGTGCCGGATTGTCAGAACCGTGCAATACGCAACGTACTGAGAAGGTATGCCCACTTATTCACAGACGCGGAAGATGATTACGGATTTTGCAATTGGGTTGAACACCGAATACCGTTGATCCCAGGAGGACAATGCAAGCCAATCTTCAGAGGAATTCCACAGAACACCCTGGTGGAGATACAGAAGCAGGTGACCGAGATGGAATCGAAAGGAATCATCAGGCGAATGAACAGCCCGTATTCATCACCCGTGCTATTGACGAAGAAGGCCGACGGAACCTATCGATTTTGCATCGATTTCAGAGAACTAAACAGGGTGACGGTGAAGGATGCATTCCCGATGCCTCAGATGGAAGCAATTTTCTCAAGCCTTCACAGTGCGAAGCAGATATCTCTGATTGATCTCTGCTCGGGATATTGGCAACTGCCGATCGCAGAAGAAGATCGCCACAAGACGGCTTTCAGTGTCAATGGCCAGCAGTATGAGTTTTTGAGAATGCCGTTTGGATTGTGCAATTTATTCCTGGTGTTTATCAACGACCTGGCAAGAGTCATCTCCTCAAATTTCCTGCTTTTCGCCGATGATGTCAAGATATGGCGGGCGATTGGTAACAAGTCCGATCAGGATCTGCTCCAACATGACTTAGATCGCATTTACGAATGGTCAAAGAGGAACAAGCTTCAATTGAACATATCTAAGTGCAAAGTGATGCATCTGCGTCACCAGCCGGTGAGCGCTTACAAGATTGGAGACCACACCTTGGCAAAGGTTTCTCAGGAGCGTGACCTAGGTGTATTGGTGCAGGAAGATCTCGGGTGTTCAAAACAAGCAGTGAAGGCGACGAGAACCGGCAATCAACACTTCGGCCTTCTTCGCAGAGCCTTCGGTCGGTTTGAACCCTCAATCTTTCCCCAAATGCTTAACGCCTACGTGCGACCTCACGTGTAATATGCTATTCAGGTGTGGCAGCCGTGGCAGAAACAGGATCTCGTTGCTCTCGAGACTCCTCAACGACGGGCAACCAAGAATGTCAGGGGCCTCTTTCATCTCCCCTATCAGCTTAGACTGAAATCTCTAAGAATGTACAGCAGTCGATATCGGCTTTTGCGAGGGGACCTCATAATGGTTTACCAGATTCCAAAGAACCCGAACCACATTTGCCGTGCGCTTCTGGAATTGAACCACAACACTAAACTAAGAGGTCACCCTCTGAAACTGACAATTCAGTATAGCCGGCTTGAATGCCGCAAAAATTTCTTTTCACTCCGCGTGTGCCAGCCTTGGAACGCCCTCCCTAATTATGTCGTCTCTGCTCCCAATCTGGCAATATTTAAAAAAAGGTGTTGACGATGCATTGTCTCACTTACATTTCATTTTATGACTTGTTAGCCAGGGGCTACAAAACGCAATCAAACGGTTTCTTGCCAAACGCCTAACCAATGGATTTATAGTTTCATATGTTTCATAAGCGAACATCTCCGCTATTCCACATAAGTCTATGGTGAGTCCACCACAACGCTTTTC